GACTTGGACTAAGTAAATTGTGTTGGTTAATGCCCTTGATTTCGAAAATAAATTTCGAAAAATTTGTTCTGATTTTTAGAAAGTCCGGAATTTCTTTAAAAATCAAAGTGGGGTGTTACATTTAGCGACGGTGAAAATTTCAGAAATGCGAGCGACGGAGAAAATCTCAAAAATACAAGCGGTAGTGTCGGATAGTTCAGTGGCGTTGGCGGGTGGTTCAGTGGAGGAGGCGTCCGGGGTTTAGCATCGGCGACGACGAATTTGGCAGCGGCTGGGTTGAAATTTCAGAGATTGGTGCAGTATAGATCGGGAGAGAAGAGTGGAAGAAAAAGGGGGAGATGTGTTAGTGGGGGGTGGGACCCACATGTTTGTGGGATAGGTGATGAATTGGCTGAGATAGAGGAAACGTCCGTAATGCCCTTAATAAGCCTTTAATAAATGTTAAATTTTGAACTTTTTTTGCCGTTGGATGTTGGAATCGTATGGCTAAGATTTATTCTTATTTCTCACCCTAAGCACCATTCTCATCAGAGCGGGACCCTATATATTTGTATCTATATATAATATTTCAAGTAAACACAAATATTTTTAATGAAAAATCACATGCATTAGATCGTGAACATTGAATACTATAAAAATTTTATTATTTCGTAACTCTGCACCCACACATAATATACTCCCTTGATGTTATTCAATTCTCACAGTACAAAACAAAATTGGTTTCACAAAGAAACCAAAGACAATTACTTGATATTTTTCCCAATTTTACAGCTAAAATATTTATTTGTATGTATGCTAATAAAAAAGCACACACTTTACACATTCACAAGAGGTGTGAAGTAGTCTTGTTAATGCAACTACACAATAAATTATGTTCTTATATTCTATGTGCAAAAAGATTTGACTGACATATAAAACGAAATCTTAATCAAAAAAGGATGAGAACAACAAAGCTTCAGGAATACAGAAAAACCACTTGTCATTGCTGCTAAGCTGCAGGCTTTGAGTCCCAAGTACAACTCACTCATGTACCACATCCACATACATTTTCCCTCCAATTTTATTTTATTTTTCGTGTTCTTCGAATTGAAACTAAATTTAAGAACAAATTTGCCCATAAACAAATCTTTTTCAACACAATTCATTTTAACATGTTAATAATGGGGAAAAAGAAGAAGAAGAAGAAAGAAGCAGTCATCTTTAAATATTACAAATGCATTTCTAATATATTTTTCTACTTTACACCTTTCAAGATTTACAAATGAAGTTTGTATATCATAATTTTATACATCCCAAAAGATAACTAAATTTGTGTAAGAAGGCTAAACTTAATCGTTCTTGTAATTCAACCCTAGATTAGAATGGCACATCTGCTAGCAATTTCTAAAATAGAATTCAGAGATATTACAACTTTCAGATTTGTAAGAATATTCAGGAAATAGTACTTGCCAGACAATGAAATCGAAGCTCTATTGATTCTCTTATGATACTTCAAAATGCAGAATCTGAAGTCAGTACTAAGCTTATGGCGGCCAGAACACCATACCTAATGAGCTTATAGCTTTCCATGCTCATGTATGTGTCTTCCATTTCAATGGTCGAGCAACGCCTTGGCTCCATATTGCGTTCCCAGAGCTTCAACATTTGTGGACCAAACATGTTGACTACCCTAATAGGTTCCTAAACAGTAGTCACATAAGGGCATCTTAGAGAATATTTACAATGATAAACAAACATCAATTTTTTATTTATTTATATACTTACCGTTAAAAGGAGAGCGCAGGGGAAACAATTGTGAAGTCCTACAAAAAAAGTTTACTGATCTGAACAGATAAAAATGACAACCATAGGCTTACAAGTGATCTAAATTACCAGTGAAAACACATTTACATGCTAAGAAGCCCTTACTATTTACCAAACAGTTTATAACCATAATCAAGAATCGAAAATAATCGCAACCAACCAGATATAATGTAACAGAACTTTCTCAAACCCTAAAGCCCAAAATCCATAAATATTAGCATTTGTAAGGTGACCTGAAATGGGATAGAGGCAAGACAGATTCTCCAGTTTCACCATGAGTCATCAGTCTCCTTTTACGTAACTCTTCAGCCAATATATGCCTAAACCCGTCATTATTTACATCCTTCACGAACAATAACGATTTTATATTTTCACCATATCCACAAGAACCACATAAACATGCACAAAACACAGTCAAAGTGCATAAAAATTAGGGCATATGAAGAAAAAGAACCAATTTTTACCCACTTCTTCTGCTCCTCCGCCACCACGAACTCGTCGTCCCCGTCATCCAACAGCAACGCTACCCCCATCTTCTCCACTATGAACACCATGTCCATTCTCTGCTCCGCGTAGGTCGGCCACCCAATCATCGGCATCCCGCGCATAACAACCTCTAGGATGGAGCTCCAACCGCAGTGGGTCACGAATCCGGCCACCATGTGTTCCAGCACCACTCTATGTAGGGCCAACGACTTTATCACAAAAGTCTTACCCTTAATCCTCTCCAGAAACCCCTTTGACAGACATTTGCAGATCAAACACATAAATATTTCTCAACCAATTAAAAAATGGAGGCAAGAATCAAACTTCATTAATTACACTAACCAATTGACAATTGCAATTTTCACATCAAAACCAAAAATAAAAAAAAAAACTAAAAAACAATAAATTTACCCTGAGGAACCCGCCGTACTTTATCATTTGTCGGAATTCATTGATGTTGACCCTCCGTCGCCACCTAAGTCGACCCTGACAATCTAACTTCGGTACTCATTCATTGTCTTCACCTGCTTCTGCCCCAGCGCCACGTATAGGGCGCTGAATCCCTCGGCGTCCGTGGGCGTCAATCTTCGCGACCATCGCCCACAGCTTGTCCTCCAGCACGCATATTCCGAGATTCACTATCGACTCGCTGAGCACATCCCGACTGATGTTGTCGTCGTTCATTGAGCTCGGAGAGGACCCGATGGAGCTCCACCGTGCCGGTCTTCTCATGTGCAACCCTAATGCGAGAATTGGTTAGATTTGATTTTGATGGTCATTTTTCAGCCAACAATTTTGGGAGAGACGGGGAAAATTATGGATTTGATATTGATCGGTATTTTCACCCTATGATAATAATTTATTGGAAGATATTTTGGATAATCTAGGATATACATATGCCAAAATAAATCTGTCGGAAGAGATTTTAAATAATCTGGAATATACACATTCTAAATTAAATTTGTAGTAGTCAATAGTTTCTTAAAATATTAGAACTTAATTTTGACTGAAAAATTCAAAACATGTTCTAGCGGGATTTTCAAAATTTTTTGAAAAAAATCACGTAGTTTAGTAAATCTGAATTTTTTGGACGGGAATTAAGTTACTATTTCAGGTAAATGTCAAACCTTTTTATATGTATATAGATTTTTAAATTAATCACATCAATAAATAATAGTAATATAAATTTAATATTTATCATTATATATGAAGGAAAATTACTTCTATAAATGTTATAAATAATAGTGATATTATACGACAATAAATTTTTGAATAAAATAATATTTGAGAATTAGGATGAACTAAAATATGTAAAATTATTATTTTTTATATTAAAAATAAATATGTATGTTAAAATGTTATTTATATTAATATAAACGGATCAACAGGCTAATACATTTTTAAACTAAAGTTTTGCAAAAAGTTTTAAGTTACGAAATCTCCGTACATCGCACGGGATTCTCACTAGTTATATACTAATATATAAAAAAAATATTGGAAAATATGTTTTTAGTAAGTTAATTAAATTGAACAAATAAATTGGTTAACTTACTAATTTAATATTTTTATAAGAAATGTGTTTATTTTATTTTTATTTTTTAAAAAATTTGAAATTTGGATGAATAACCATAAAAATCATATCTAGATGCATTTTTTAGAACAATATATATATATATATATATATATATATATATATATATATATTTACTGATGAATTCATTAATAAAACATTTAATAAAACCTTTTTTCATATTCCCGCCCAAAAAGACGTTACAAGGCTATTATATAAAGATTTTTTAATAGAAATAGACTTTATTGCATGGACTCTTGTTGATTATTAAATTTGATCAGGCAGGTAAAATCTCATCCAAATATGAAATATTTTTTCAATTAACTATTGAACTTTTATTAGTCAAAAACTTGATTAGATGAAATAATTAGACAATAAAACAATAATTAGTCATTTTCTTATTCTTTTTTATTTTGCTCCATAAATGACTAAAGATTCATGCATGCCAAGAAAGTGAATAAATAAAACACATATACAAAATTACAAAAACATTTCAAATAATTACATATAATAAATTAATTGATCACTCCTTAAACTTTGAATTAGACCTGCAAAACATAATAAAAAAATAAAAACAGTAAACAATTTCAATATTCCATGATTTAATAAGAATTTAAATATAACATAATCTGTAACACCCCGACTTATCAGAGTAAATTTTTTTCGCAACTTATTTCAAAAATAC